CAACATACATTTTTTATCTCAAAATAAAAAATAAAAATATTAGTGATAATTTTATATACGAATTAACTAATTTTTAATCAATAATTCAACTTTATCTTAAATAAAACGAAAATTAATATTAATAATAATTATATAAACGAATTAATTAGTATTAAAATCAAATGTGGATAAAAAATCTTTTCAATTATGAAAAGAAGTATTTTTCAAAAAAAATAAATAAGGTGTATTTTTCAAATTTTCAAACTTAATCGGTGTATTTTTCAAAAAACCCCTAATGTTTATACGCTTTCAGTTAGAATATGAAATGTTTTAGTTAAAATCGCAAATATAAAACTTTTCTTTAAAATATCATTAATATATGTATATACTAAAAATAATTCAGTCAATTATAAAATAAAAAAAACTGCATAATACTATTTATCACACAATATTTAATAAACTTTAAAATTGCATAAAATCGTAAAAACATTCTATATTTTAAAACAAAACAAATCCTTACAACATCTTATGTTTTATTTTATTTTATTTATGCATGTTTTGGAAGTTCAGTCCCAAATAATACTAAAAAACGTGCAAGCCCAAAGCATGCGAGGCTTCGTTCCTTTGTAGTCTACTTCCAAAAAGTTTAAAAAACGGCCAATGATTGATATATATAATTATTTATATCCAACAAAAAAAAACTCGTACATACATATACCGTATACTCTTATAAAATCGTGGTCAATGTCAATTTTGAATGTGACATTGATTAGTATCGAGAAAAATAATAAAATGGGAGAATATTGATACTACGTGCGTTCGACTTGTAACAAATATGCGAGTCCACCGCACTAAACTATTTTGTTTTATTAGTTCGGTTTTGTGAAGATCAAATACAATTTTCCACATTTGCATGTCAAATAATATATATTATAAATAAATTTATGTTTAATGAGACTCTGTATTTCAGGACCGAACATGCATACATGTATATAAAGAAGAATGTTCACGTTCATTTTTTTTAATGTTCACGTTCTTCATCGTTACCATTATATAAAGAGAGATAATAATCAAGACAATGTAACAACTGATTAAAA